ACTACGGTTGACCTACGATTGGTGTTACGTGGGGGCGTCCTTGGTAGGAGTGGCCCGGTAACACGCTTTGTTTCTTCTGCCCTGAGTCCTCTCACGGTGTGAGGGTCTTGCTCGGGCGGAGCTCCAATCACCCTTCGCTGGCCTGCTGGGAGTACATGTTCCTACGGCCTCCGCGTTGTGTCCCACTAGCGAAGTCCTAAGGGACGTAGCACCATGACGTAGAATTAATAGTTACCTAATGTAACTTAAGTTCTACGAATAGGTGCGTAGTCCCTTAGCTACGAGCCCATCAGGCCAGCCCGGCTTGGCAGAGTTCAAGAGGGGGTGCGGCCTTGTGCAGGGGCATTTATAGAGGAAGGTGGCTGGTGATTGGAGCAAATTATTTTGATCTCTCTGGCGTCTGTGACCTGGGGGTCACGTGATATCCCACTAGCGAAGTCCTAAGGGACTACGCACCTATTCGTAGAACTTAAGTTACATTAGGTAACTATTAATTCAGTCTGCAAAACCAACTGGAAACTGAACTCTACCTGACTGATGAAACCGACACACAAGATGATGAAGACATCTTTGATGAATTGGTCAAATCTGGGGTGAAGGATTTCAAAGCAAATTTCATGTTCCAGGTTTTGGGTAAATCAATACATATTGTGTATGTTTTTTAATGTTTTCAAATGGAAGCTCATTTTTTTTTATTTTTTAGACATTCAACTGGATGTCTTTAATGATTCCACAGCATCCTCTTCACTTGCACAACCCCAGCCTAACACAAAGTCAACATCCATGTCCCCAGTATCGGAGTATTTGTATTCAGACTACCTATCAACATCCGGCTTTGAATCAGATGCATCAAGGACTGTGAAATCAACAAAAAAGAGGAGCGGGTCCTTAAAAGAGTTGGACCGTAACGAAGCACGACAGGTATTCAACACTTAATATACAGTTTTTCTACATGTGTAAAAAAAAAACCCTAACGCCGAAGTACTCATCCAACTGTCTTTCTTAAAGAGCTACTGGATACCTTGGACCCTACAGATGAGTCAGGTAAATTGTAAACTTTGTTAGTACTGGTGTTGTATAGATTGTGGACATTATGGCTACTAAACATTTCAGCCATTTTAAGTTGTACTTCTTTTTTCAAGGCTGGGACAGTGATGTTGTGTCTCTCCTACTGCTCCTACATTTACTTCCACCAACCGCAGGGGGCCAAAACAAGACCAAGATGAAGGTTAGGTGTTCTGATATAATCAAAGAGCGATATACACCTGTGATTCAGTGGTTGTAGTTCAATTCGTGTATATATATATATATATATATATATATATATATATATATATATATATATATATATATATATATATATTTTTTTTTTTTTTTTTTTTTGTGTGGAGGGGTGTTTAACGTAGTCCTCAAAGGTCCTTCACAGGAGCACACCAGACTCCACCCATTTAAAGGAGCTCAGTCTTTACCTGAGGAAATGGTGGCGTCTGGTGTGCTGCTGTTTGGGTAGAATAAAAACCTGCTGAGGTTATAGAGTAAACTCAAAGTAGGTTCACAATCACAAAGGCTCTATCTAAAGAAAGAACATTTTGGAGTTCACATGAGTCTGACTCAAGAACAAACAGTGAAGTCAAGTTTTTAAAATAAATTAGTTGATTTTTATGTAGTTCTCCTTAAAATTGTGAAGGTAAAACAAAACACTACATTTACAAACTTAATCTTTATGATCATTTTTCCTTTTTTAGGAAGGAAGAAGTCTGTCAACTTTTCTTGAGACTGTGGACTGCAGACCCTTCCTCCTGTTCATTGGTGAGGATAAGAGGATCACTGGGTTCTATAGATAGATAGATAACTTTATTTTTTATTTTTATTTGCGGACTCGAGGTCCAAATCACAAGACAAGAAAACAAATAAAATAAAATAAACAACAGACAATAAAAACCTCTAATCTTTCAAGAGGCAGGCATACCAGTGTTTCCAAAGCAGCGATGTGTATCGCACCTCGCTGCACACAACACTGGACAATAAAATAATCACCGAATTTTTTGAATCATTCAGCCGACATATAAACTTAAACATCAGATTTCTCAGGACAGCTTGCAAAGTGTTTACTCTATTTGACACAAAGAGTTCACTGGCTCTAGTCCATCGGGGCTTTTTTAATAAAATTCTCAACGCATCGTTGTAAGCAACTGTAAGTTTATGAAAGCTGGACTTTTTGTAATTAACCCACAGATGTGCTGTGTACAGAGGTGAGCAGTAAGCTCGAAACAGAGCTACTTTCACCTGAACAGAGCAGGAGGAGAATTTCCGAGACAGAGTGTTCGCTTGTGCATATAGCATCCAGCACTGACGGTACATGTCCTCGTCATCGGTCAAACGGTCAGTTATGATGTGACCAAGGTACTTTACAACATCACACACAGTTAAGCTGCATTCAAGATGGCGCCTCGTACGGTCGACATGGCTCTTTGCTGCTCTCTTTTTCTTTTGTTTTTACTTTTTAACTGTGCATCTGGCTGTTCCTACACCCGTGAGGAACTTATGAACATCCGACCCACCGTTCCCATGGACCTGCCTGTTTTCTTGGCATCTGCGGCTGATTTAGTTCATGTTCTAGCCAAAAAAGTGTGGGCCCGTAAAAGGGGAAAGCGAGGAGGCCTGCTCGTGCGTCTTAGGAGGAGAGGAGCGCGCACGGCTCTCCCCGGCATTTTTCTCTCCAACGTACGCTCACTGGGCAATAAGATGGACGAACTCAGCCTGCTCATGAGAAGAAACAAGGACTTCGCCACATCCTGTGTCCTCTGCTTCACTGAGACCTGGCTAAATGAGCGGATCCCGGACTGCGCTCTGGAGCTGCAGGGCTTTGGGCTGTTTCGCGCGGATCGCCATTGTGCGCTCTCAGGGAAGAGCAGAGGCGGAGGGCTCTGTTTCTACGTCAATACAAACTGGTGTAACGATGTGACAGTGATCTCCAAGCACTGCTCTCCTGCTCTGGAATATCTTTTCATCCATTGTAAACCATATTACTCCCCGCGGGAAATTGTTTCATTCATTCTTGCCTCTGTTTACATACCGCCATGCGCGGACGCGCGCGAGGCTCAGCGCGCACTCGCAGAGCAAGTACTGTGTATGGAACGCTTATACCCGGACTCTCTGATTATTATCCTGGGGGATTTTAATAAGGGAAACTTGAGCCAGGAATTACCCAAATACAGACAGTTTATCAAATGCCCGACCAGAGAGGAGAACACTCTGGATCACTGTTACACCACCGTGCGCGGAGCTTTTCGCGCTGTTCCCAAGCCAGCCCTCGGCTTCTCAGATCACTCCATGATACATCTGGTTCCTGCTTACAGACAGAGACTAAAGCTCTCGAAACCTGCAGTGAGGAGCTCCAAAGTGTGGTCTGATGAAGCTGTGGAAGAGCTGCGCGCATGCATGGAATCTACAGACTGGGACCTTTTCAGAGCTGCCACAGACAGCTTGGATGAATATACGGACACTGTGACGTCATACATCCACTTCTGTGAGGATAGCATCATTCCAACAAGGACCAGGGTCATCTATAACAACGACAAACCCTGGTTCACTGCTAAACTCCGGCAGCTCAGGAAAGCAAAGGAGTCTGCTTTCAGGGAGGGTGACCGCAGCGGCTACAAAGCAGCTAAATATCAGTTCAGGAAAGAACTGAAAGCAGCCAAGTCCCGGCACAGAGAACGACTACAGGAGCAGTTTGGTAACAACGATACTGCTTCTGTCTGGAGGGGCCTACGGGAGATCACCAACTACAAACCCAAAGCCCCCCCCTGTGCTGATGACCACAAGCTAGCTGACGATCTGAACTTATTTTTCAGTCGCTTTGATGCTGCCCCTGACACCTCTCCCTCCCCCACCCCCCACTACTCTAACGACCCACCCATCAGCCCTGCCCCCAGCCTAACAATAGCCGCTAAAGAGATTAAACAACTCTTCCTGAGGCTGCACCCCCGCAAAGCTCCTGGCCCGGACCACGTGTCTCCGGCCACTCTGAGACACTGCGCCAGTGAGCTTACTCCTGTGTTCACGGACATTTTCAACTCCTCTCTGCAGTCCTGCCATGTCCCGGCCTGCTTCAAATCCTCCATCATTGTCCCCGTCCCGAAGAAGCCCAGGATCACAGGACTCAATGACTACAGACCTGTAGCACTTACGTCTGTCGTCATGAAGTCATTTGAACGCCTGGTTCTCTCCCATCTCAAGTCCCTCACCTCCCCCCTCCTGGACCCCCTGCAGTTCGCCTACAGAGCCAACAGATCTGTAGACGACGCCATTAACCTGGCCCTCCACCACATCCTACAGCACCTGGACTCCCCGGGGACCTACGCCAGGGTCCTGTTCGTGGACTTCAGCTCTGCCTTCAACACAATCCTGCCATCCCTGCTCCAGGACAAGCTCTCCCAGCTCAACGTGCCCGATTCCACCTGCAGGTGGATCACTGACTTCCTGACGGACAGGAAGCAGCGAGTGCGTCTGGGGAAGAATGTCTCGGACTCTCGGATTATAAATACAGGAGCCCCACAGGGCTGTGTTCTTTCTCCCCTGCTCTTCTCCCTGTACACCAACCACTGCACCTCCAGCCACGACTCCGTGAAGCTGATCAAGTTCGCGGACGACACCACCCTCATTGGACTCATCTCCAACAACGATGAGTCCGCCTACAGGAGGGAGGTGGACCGGCTGGTGTCCTGGTGCAGTGGTAACAACCTGGAGCTGAACGCCCAGAAGACAGTGGAGATGATTGTGGACTTCAGGAAGAGCACTGTCCCCCCGCCCCCACCCTCCGTGATGGACTCCCCCATCACCTCTGTGGAGTCCTTCCGTTTCCTGGGCACCACCATCACCCAGGACCTCAAGTGGGAGCCGACCATCAGCTCCCTCATCAAGAAGGCCCAGCAGAGGATGTACTTCCTGCGGCAGCTCAGGAAAGCCAAGCTGCCTGCACAGATGTTGGTGCAGTTCTACACGGCCATCATCGAGTCCATCCTCACCTCCTCCATCACCGTGTGGTTCGCTGGAGCCACAGTCAGGGACAAACAGAGACTACAGCGCATTGTGCGCTCTGCAGAGGAAGTGATCGGCCGCAGCCTTCCATCGCTGCAGGACCTGTACGTCGCCCGAGCTCGAGGCCGGGCTGGTCGTATCACAGCCGACCCCTCTCACCCTGCACATGGACTATTCCAACCACTCCCCTCAGGCAGGAGGCTGCGGTCCATCAGGACTAGAACCTCCCGCCACAAGAACAGTTTCTTCCCCTCTGCTGTTGGACTCTTGAACACTTCTTAACCTGTCCCCCCGCCCTTTATAAAGTCACTTTACTGCCCATCATACGTCACTTTACTTCACTGTACTGCTGTCACCTTACATTGTGTGCACCATGTGCACTTGTATATTGTAAATAGTAACTGTAACTCTATTTTAAATTTAAATTTATTCTTTAGAAGTGTTTTTTATTCTTATTTTTATTATCTCTTTTCGACTGTTGCACTGAGCCAAAGCAATTTCCAAGTCTGTGACCTCCCGTTACTTACGTTGGCAATAAAAATGATTCTGATTCTGATGATTAATATGTTCCCTGAGAGCCTAAAGTCCGGAAACCTCAGTGATCTGTCATCTTTAGTCCGGCAGATCATGATTACACTCTTACTAGAGTTGTATTTCACATCCTGAACGATCAAAGGCCTTAGAGGCATCTAAAAAACATGTAAAAACAGTGGAATTTTTTCTTCTGTAGTTACATAATACTTCTTTCAGTGAAAAAATACACATATCAGTTCCATGATTTGCTTTAAAACCAAATTGATTGTCTGTATCAGTGATAAATTTAACAAGTCTGTTCAAAAAAATATATTCTACCACTTTAGACAGAATATTGGCCAGGGCAATAGGTCTATAATTATCTGAGCTCCCCACTTTTCCTGCTTTGTCCTTTATTACAGGCACTAGGAGTACAGTCATCATGGGGTCAGGAATGAACCCATGCACAACAAACGCATTAAAACACAAGGCCAGAAGAGGAGCCAGCCTCACACTGGCATGCTTCAGATGTTCAGCTGAAATCTGGTCTACTCCAGAAGATTTATTAACAGACAGACTATTAACAGCTTGATAAACCTCTTGGGTGGTGATGGTTTCAACATAATCAACATTTTCAACACTAAAAATTTCACTTGGCACACAGTTGAAAAGGTTATAAAAGTGCTGTCGCCAGAGATCAGCTATCATATAAGCCCCATTTACTCCATCTACTGTGTGTGGTAGAGGGGGTTTACAGTTGTTAACCAGTTTAACCTCTTTCCAAAAAGTTTTAGGGTCACTACCCAAGAGTTTTTTAGCTATGGACTCAGCTCTCATAGTTTTCTCATTTTTACAGATGAATCTTATTGCATATTTATACTTTGCATTTGATAACTTTTTATGCTCAAATATTGGCCCTTGTCTTGGTTTACCAGCCAAAGCCTAGGAGCGAGTAGCATCACGGGCTTCAGTCTGAAACTGAGCCGCGTAACTATTCCAACCAGGCCGAGGCTTACTTCTCCTTTTAGATTTGTGAAATGGCTTACTAGCTTTCATCAACACTTGGGTAATGTCAGAATACAAAGATGAGATATCAGACTTATGTTTTGAGTTTGTGCAATTATAATCTTTACACATAACCGCCTCTTTAGGCAAAGTAATATTGGCCAAAAGTAGATCTGTGTGAGCACCATAGCAGATTAGGTCTTCTGTAGAGAGAGAACTCCAATCGAGGAATTCATTATTTACAGTAATGCACGGTTGCAGAGTGACAGGTATATGGTTGAATTCGATCGATATGGATAGAGGGATGTGATCCGAAGTGGACAATTCATATAGGATGTCCATGTCTCTCAAAGCTGCATGAGCATCAGCAGTAGTAATACAATGATCTAGCCATGAGGTAGTGTGCCAAGCTTCACTTATATATGAGTAACTCTGGGCAGGCAATAGAGCTTTACTCGACAAAATCAAATTATTATCTGTACAAAAATGGGCTAAATGCCTAGCAAAGGAAGAATTATTGTCTGATATATTTGCATTCATATCACCAATCACATAGACACAGCTAAACTTATCATTTTGTATGAAAGAGCTGATCAAACCAAGTTTGCTGAAATACTCCTCTTCATTTTGACTACATTCATATGGAAAATACACATTTAAAATCAGAAGTTCTTTGTTATGTTGAGACAGACGTATAGCGATACACCAGTCTACATCGAGTCTAATGACGCTAACCAGTGAGTCCAGTTTTTTATTCCACAAAATAGCCACACCTCCTGGAATTCTGCCCCTCTTTACTCCTAAACTAAGGTCAGTAGTTGATTCCCCAGCACCGAGGTAACTGTCATGTATGGAGTTCAGTCCTTTAAGATCTTGCTTAGCAAGAAACGTTTCTTGTAAGCAGAGAATATCACACTGTCCTAAAAGTTCATCCACAACAACGCGGCGCACTTTGTCGTCCGCACTTTGGCCCACACGCAGGCCACGACAGTTATATGATCTGACCTTAATATCCATAGCTATTGTTCATTCAAGCTCCCTTGCGCAAACGGCATAGCTCCGGCGGCCGTTGTAGCAGCGTTAGCTCCAATGATAGCTTTACGCGGCTCGTAGTACTGTCTTACAAAGGTTCCCTCTGGCCATAATTCAGGATTATACATAACTTCTACCTCACTGCATTCGGCCGATACTTTGAACGAGGCGTATCTGGTGTTTGCGGTATTAATCTTTGTACATGCCACATCATTCCCGAGTTTCTCCATGAGATATGCGCGTAAAGTTTCAGGTTCTATGTCGGGTGAGAACTTAGAAGCGAAGACACTCACCAATTTGGTTTTGATCATTTTGATGCTCTCAGACTTTCCAGTGCCCACAACGGTTTTGCCCCCTTTCCTATTACCAGGAGTCGGGCGTTCAACCCTGGGAGCCGCTGGTTTGGTCAACGCCGCCTGCGGCTCCCTGCGGGGACGTCTTTTCACAACCTGGTTCCATTTCGGTGATCCAGGCTGCATTGCCTCCCCTGAGCGTATCGTTGACTTGTCCGAGGCCGAAAGCAACGTTTCCTCGGTCCCGTTGTGGCAGTGCCCAATCCCAGTGACCTCTCCTGCAAGGCTAACGCCGATAGCCTCCAGTGCGCCATGGTTCGAGCACGCCTCCAGGGCGCACACCCGATTGCTCACATCCACCGTGACAGCCCGCAGGCCGTCGCTGACTTCAGCCTGAATATGTATTGCTTCCTTCATGGCAAAGATTTCAGCATGAAGGTTCTCCATTTTGCGGAGCAGGCCACACACATCCATATTTGTAAAAGACACCGGGGGCAATTCATCCAGGTAGTGGGACACAAATCTTGGGATATTGTCCCCACATTCATTAAGCACTTTGAGACACGCCTTAATGTTGTTGGCATCTTTATTCGCTCCTTTATGTGCGATATTGCGTTGTGTAGTAGAGGCGCAGATTTCAAACAGAGTTTTCTTAGACGCCTCGATCCAGTCTGAATCAAAAGTATTTGCAGCCAACAGAACAATCTCATCTTGGCTCAGTGTCTTTTGTTTTACTGAGAGGAAGTGTAGAAATTCATCCTCTACTATAATTTTGCCATCCGTAGTTTCATATATCTCTGGTTTCAATCGAACTTTAGAGAACGCAGGTGCTCCAGACATGCGTGCAACCGTCTCTGTCGCCATGACAGCTATATCATCTTGGACCAAAAGGCCATTCCGTGTGCTGCACAGACAACTTTGGTTGCTTTTGACTCCCTCTTCAAAGCTCACTACGTCTTCAGTGTCTCATATGATGAAGCGCTCAAAGGTTTTTACACATTCATTCAAACCACTGTGTACAACATTGACGTTGGCAAGACAAAGGAAACACCACGAGTGAAGGAGCTGCAAACCAAACTGCTACAAGAACTGACTGAGTGAACTGTCTTTGAAGAGGAACTTCGTTTGTTTAACAATGTTTACTTGTTTTGTTTGCAAAACGCAGCACAGACAATGTTCATTTCTTCTTAATAAAAAGCCATTTTTGTTATGGCTAAAAATGGCTTTTTATTATGAAAACTTGTCTTTAGGTAAACTAGAATCCGGCCCTGCAAAAGTCCAAACATTAGGAGAGTTGGAAACTGGAACTCTTATGTGAAGCTATGCACGAGGGAATGAACACTGTTGTAGCAGTCACAAAATGGATCAAGAGTTATGGGACATGGTGTCAAACTGGTCTTTTTGTATGTACTGGTATGTTCAATGACTTGCCTTTGTTTAAAAGAATTAAGCAAATTGTACTTTATGAAAACCAGGTATTTGTTGTCGACGGAACAGTTAAGACTCTTTATTTTAATGAACATTTTAATGCTTATTGTATTGACGAGCAAAGTGGAGGAAATTTATTGAGATTGAAAATCTCATACTTTAAACCCTTTGATAGACTGTTGGCAAACGATGACCATGTACCTTATTGTCACCTGATTTAAAATGTTTGTGTCAATAAATGAAAATGTATTCAGATGCTTATTTTTTCCATTGTCCTAAAAACTAACATATATATTAGTGTGTGTGTGTATATGTGTATATTTATATATATATATATATATATATATATATATATATATATATTATAATATAAAAAAATTACACTCCATGTGAGTGACTTTACTCTCCTAAAAGGGTTAGATTTTACTCTAAAATATGAGTCCATTAACACCAACTTGGGAGTTAATGCCTAACTCTGCAAAAAGTGTTAATTTAACCCTTTCTGGTGTGGTCGCATATAAACCCCAGAAAAGAGTTAAAAGTAACACCCTGGGAGTTGATTTGCCAATGTGGATTTTGCTGTGTGGGTGGATTTTGCATGTTCTCCCTGTGCCTGTGTAGGTTTCCTCCGGGTACTCCGGTTTCCCCTACGACTAAAAACTTGAACAATAGTTCAGGTTGAATGAGTGTGTGTTTGTGAGTGCGAATGTGGGACAACGGATGCAAATTAGCCCATGGCTACAATCAGAAGTGATGTGTTCATTATAACATGTACTGTCCCAACCAGATAAATAATGAATAAAAATATTCCATTTGAGGTTTAAACAGTTTAAAGGTAGATAAATGGACTTCCAACTTAATGTGGTGGGGAATGTGGTTTTCATGCTCGGGCGATCCCAGGACTGGAATCATCGGAATGACACAGCCCCACCCTGTTGCCCACCCTTCCTGTGGGCTCAGGATGGTGGTCAAATGTGGAGACCTCGACAACCAAGTCCACGTGCGCATGATCTGGCCTTGGGGACATGGAACGTCACCTCACTGGGGGGAAGGAGGCTAAGCCAACGAGAGATACCACTAGAGATAGTTGGCCACACTTCAACACACAGCTGGGGCTCTGGAAACCAACTTCTCAAGAGGTGTTGGGCTCCACTTTTCAGGTGTTTTACACGGGGAGAGGCTGCGAGCGGGGGTGGGCTTACGCATTGCCTCCCATTTCAGCCACTTGGCGATGGGGGACAGTGCCAATGGAGTGGCAGACTGGGGTTGTGGTCCCTCTCTACAAGAAGGGAAACCAGAGGGTGTATTCCAATTATCGTGGGATTCCACTCCTCAGCCTTCTCAGTAAGGTCGACTCCAAAGTACTGAAGAGTATAATTTGACTGATTGTCGAATCTCATAATCTGGAGGTTTTTGTCCTGGCTGCGGGACAGTGGACTAGCTCCATACTCTCCATTCTCTACTCGATCATGGAAGTTTGCCCAACCTTTTCACATGAGATTTGTAGATCTTGAGAAGGCGTTCAACCCTCCTCGCCGGGGTGTCCATTGGGGGGTTCTCCGGGAGTATGTCCAGCTCAGGGGAGACCAGGACAATGTCTCTCAGCTGGCCTGGGATCACATCGAGATGGATAAGCAGCAAGAAGGATGCAACGGATAAAGCAGAAGAAAACGTATGAATAGATAGATGGATGTATGATAAAAGGTGCTCTATGCAACAACCTCAGTATAAGCATGCAGATATGACCTGTAACTTTGTAATGTCCTTGGCTCGTTCCCAATGCAGATTAACATAGGTAAATTGCAGGCAAAACAATTAACATGTTATGGTAGCTGCAAGATGGATGGCCCCTGCCATCACCAAGTGATACAGAAAAATACAAAAAATATTAGGTGAAAAGGGTTGTCTTAAAGCTCTCATGGAATCAGATGTAAACAGTTCAGATCATTTGCAGCACATCACGAATAAACAGCTTTCCATTCTTTGCTCTAGTGCTTCAGATTCAACAGTTCCTTGTCCTTGGCTCTGAACGATAACAAACTACTCTGTAACTCTAAGGAGTGGATTATATAGCTGAGCGTGCCCTAACTTCAACCCAACCTGAGTTCTGTGCCGCTTCCTGTGATATACGATTTGCGACATCTCCCTGCATCTCCTGTGCCACCAGCCAACACACAGCCCCATCTAAGATATTGGATAACACACAGGCCATCATATAAGAGCTATAGATTATTCTATTCCTGGTGACAACACAGAGCAGGGGGAAGAAGCGGGAGGACGGGATAATTTAAGAAAATGCAGAAACGTGAGGAGAGGGAGTGATCTTTAACACTAGGACCGCCGCGCTCTAAACATACCTTGCACCGCCCCCTGCGGTCAGTTGACCGCTATGTATTTTGCGCTGATACAGCCTTTTGCCAAATTGATTGTTCACTAAACCAGAACTTGATGTTGCAAAGGAATCGTGATCATAATGAAACTGTGTAAATTATTTGTCTAAATATGCTAAGTAATTGTAATTCTAGCCGAAATAAAAGGCTAAGACGACACATTGTGCGTGTACTGATCCATCAAAATTACTATGACTTTTCAGGCTAGATTTATTTTGTAACTTTGCAAACACCTAAAAGGTTGCTCACTATATGTTATATTTGACTCAGTAACAATATGTAAATTCAAACAATATAAATGATAGTTTAGAAAAGCACAGGACCATAACGTCTTCGCGCTGCTATATGCGTCTACTTCTTACGTCATCTCCAGACTGTTTTCTCTTTCCAGCCGAAATCACCGTGGGAAATATTATCTAGATAATAATAATATTATTCGTATTGACACAAGATCATCAGCTAGGCTACCATCGTCAATGTAAAATCTTCAATTTTACACGGGACACGTTAGAAAGACAAATATATGTATATATATATTTGTATTTATTTGAGACAAGCAGTGCTCTTTATGCTCAGAACAAAATTATAATCATTGCCTTGCAGTGCGCGCTGTGCAGAATAACACACAGTGTTATCTGGATGAAATAAGAATTATATCCTTATTGATATATGAGGGCCGCTTCTGCCCCATGCACAGTCGCTCTCCTCCTGCAGTGTCCGCGGGTGACGAGCACTCTGATCTGCACTCTGCCTTGATAGTTCATCGAATTGTTCTATTTTATTACGATATTGTATTCTGCTTTATTGCCTTCTTGTATGTATAAATATAATAATGTAATTGATGATGAATGAAAAGGCAGAATGGAGCGACAGCGCGCACACAGACACCTGCGTATGGCTGGCATTACGCGGGTCATGTGCGTTATTGCTTCTGGACTTGTTACAACACTGCTGTCCGTGCCGTGAATGCACTATGGGATTACGTTCAGATTTAGAATATTATAGGTGTTCTCCCCGCTGTCACTTTCTACCTCAAAATGTGACATCTCTCACCTCCGTCAGACTGTTCTCATTCAATGTCTTGAAGCACTGTCAGCGCTTCATACCGTGTACTTGCAGCTCTATTCATTTTGTACTCCTCTCTCTCTCCCAAATAATAATAAAAAGTCCCTTTAGAGTCTAATGACAACATATTGATACATTTTTATAAGGCGCGAAAAACCCCCGGGAAAGGTTACTATGACAACAGGCGCCCCTGCGCCATGTATCTCCATGGGGAAGCAGAAAGGGCTGTGGTTTAGAAAAGTTAAAATGCGTGTAAATCTTGTTTTCTTTACTTTTTCCAAAACCAAAACACACCAAAATATAAACAACAAGTACCTAGAAAAAGTCATAAAATTTCAACTTCTGGCGTTTTGTTTTGAATACACTAATTAGCATAATAAAGTGAGTGACGGTCAGTTGACCGCTAGGGGCGCTCCTAGTGTTAATGGTGAAGAGTTTGCGTGGTTACGAGCCAACTGTCCAGGACCTTTGAATTATGTTAGGCCACTTATAGATTTGGAGGAAAAAAGCAAAATGCCGGTGAGCTAATGTAGTCTGCTCGACCAGTGAAGGCATAAATCTAACGGAACTATAATGACGAATGTTTCTGTGTGTTTATGAGGTTGACCGAGCCAACACTCTTCATCCCATCGGACCACCACCTTGAATCCATCACCCGATCTCTATAGTATTTCTCAGCCTCCTAATGCAGACGTTGTCAAACTGTACAGGAACAGTGGAATAGTGCCATTAGAACAATATCTGAAATGTGCCCATTGTTGTAAAAGCCAGGTCTATTTTAGTGCCATATAAATTAGGTTTCACCCCTTCTAGAGCAAATCCTTTAAAATCTACTGGCAAAAAGATTATAGATAAAATAACATTTGTTTTTACACATTTTCAAAACAGGGACGTTTGTTTTTGCCAGTGAACTCTTCAATTATACCCAAAGTGTAAAAGAGTAAGTTAGCAATGCATTCTGTGGGCTCTGTCCTCAAACAATTCAAAAATACAAAAATCTACAAAAATTACAAAATAAGACATGGCAAAAAATCTGAGATCATACAAAAATCATTCTGGCGCTGCTTTACGGAAATATCTGCAAACTTCTTTCCCATGCCTAAATTCAACTTTGGTCAAGCTAGGTGTCTTGCTCAATGGCACATGAGTTACAATTTGCAGACAGAGGTGGAAACACATCACCAGCTTGTACATTAGATAGATAGAGGCTTTATTGATCCCCGTAGGAGTAATTCAGGTGTTCAGTAGCAGCAAAAACACATCCATCCACACAAACAAAACAAATAAATTGATTCTAAAAAGCTAACAATAGTAATAATAAAATAGATTCATCAACTTAAAAAAATCAACAAAAATAGTAGTTGGAGTGTGTGTCCTAACATGTCCTCTGTTCACCCCTCCAGCATATGGGACGGACACATGTATCTCTCTCCCACAGAGCGGAGGGACTGCGTCTCTCTGCTGTGCCGTAGTTAGCAGAGCGGCTGCTGATGTATGGAGTGTAATAGCTAACAGCGTTTGTTGAGATTAATTGATACTAATGGCTAACACAGTTAGCGGTGAGTGATGGCTGCTCCTCTGCAGACGCACTGGAGAACGAGACACAAATCAAGTTTCCACTGGGCCCACTGCAGAGCTGCGTCCTTCTGTTTGGTCTGCTCCACTGCAATCTCAATAATGGATTTTATGAACTGCGATTTGGCTCTTCAGCTCAGATAGAGAGAGGGGAGGATAAGAACTATTGCTATAAATCTAAACTATCCAAAGACATGTGAGATGACTGAAATAATCTGTTTGAAAATGGGCGAGTTCTCTCTGTGGAAAGTCATCCTATTCTTCATCACACATATAAATGCATGTCTTACCATCTGGCTTTGGAAAACTTTTTTTTTGGTCAATTAACATTATGATCACAAGACCATAAGCATGTTTGGTCTGTTTTTTTGTCAAAGTTTAGCCCTTTATTAAAGTTTAATGTAATCATTTTGTTTTGTATCTAATTGACTGTTGCTGCTGTACTGTTATTTTTTTATTTGATTTTGAGGACCCCCTCGGAAACGAGATGATTCATCTCAAGGGGTTATTCCTCTCAATGATATTAATAAACATATATAATAAACATTGTCCATGGAAAATATCCAGAGAATCTTTGTCTGCCCCAGCCACTTCTTACACAGACTTTCTGTACACGCCTTGAGTTCAGGAGAGAATCTGCATGAATAGCAAACAGTCACTGTGTATACAGAGTACAAGCTTTTCTGTGATTCAATCATTAGACTGCAACATTTTACTATTTTCTCCCCAAACAGACCGCATCAGCAATTTGGTATGGCTTGCTTTACTTGTGCACCTGATGTAACAGACCTTGCCCACTGCCGCCAAAGAGGGTCCAGCCAGCCGCTCGACAACCCAAAATAACACAGCACTAACACCTGCACTGTCCACCTTTCTGCATCACTCCACATTGGACATGAGGACACTGACCATGGGACATGAGGACACTAACCATGGGACATGAGGACACTGACCATGGGACATGAGGACACTGACCATGGGACATGAGGACACTGACCATGGGACATGAGGACACTGACCATGGGACATTAGAACACTGACCATGGGACATGAGTACACTGACCATGGGACATTAGAACACTGACCATGGGACATGAGGCATTGACCATGGGACATGAGGACACTGACCATGGGACATGAGGACACTGACAATGGGACATGAGGACACTGACCATGGGACATAGGAACACTGCCCATGGGACATGAGGACACTGACCATGGGACATGAGGACACTGACCATGGGACATGAGGACACTGACCATGGGACATGAGGACACTGACCATGGGACATGAGGACACTGACCATGGGACATTAGAACGCTGACCATGCGACATGAGGACACTGACCATAGGACATTAGAACGCTGACCATGGGACATGAGGACACTGACCATGGGACATGAGGACACTGACCATGGGACATGAGGACACTGACCATGGGACATGAGGACACTGACCATGGGACATGAGGACACTGACAATGGGACATGAGGACACTGACCATGGGACATTAGAACGCTGACCATGGGACATGAGGACACTGACCATGGGACATGAGGACACTGACCATGGGACATGAGGACACTGACCATGGGACATGAGGACACTAACCATGGGACATTAGAACACTGACCATGGGACATGAGGACACTGACCATGGGACATGAGGACACTGACCATGGGACATGAGTACACTGACCATGGGACATTAGAACACTGACCATGGGACATGAGGGCATTGACATGGGACATGAGGACACTGACCATGGGACATGAGGACACTGACATGGGACATGAGGACACTGGCCATGGGACATTAGAACACTGCCCATGGGACATGAGGACACTGACCATGGGACATGAGGACACTGACCATGGGACATGAGGACACTGACCATGGGACATGAGGACACTGACCATGGGACATGAGGACACTGACCATGGGACATGAGGACACTGACCATGGGACATTAGAACGCTGACCATGGGACATGAGGACACTGACCATGGGACTTGGTCAGCACTAGATTGGAATAGTGCTTGTACAAACAGGTGTGTACATGTTTTTAAAATTGCTTCTGTTTGTTGTATTTTAATTAGTATTTGATCATTTTGTTAAATGTCAACATGTGTTTGTTTGTGGATGTATTTATTGAAGTAGCCAGATTGTTCGTCTGTCTGTCTAAGCAGCAATGTCACTTCCATCAATAGTTAAAGCTCAAGAAACAACAATCACTAATAGCATTTTTTTACATTTATATTACAATATTGCCTTCTTTCCAAAACATTTCACTAAATCCAGTTCCTCATTAATATTTTTGCTTCCAGCATCTTGCTCAATGAAGCATAATTTAGCTTGTTGTTCTGTTTACCGCACATTGTAGAAAGTTTGCATTTCATGACTGAATACATTAAAAGAGTTGTGCATGTCATGAATATTACCTGTTGCTTATTTTATGAGGTGTAATTGACAAAGTCGCAAAAACTCCAATAAACTGAAAATATTGGAAATAAAATGAAACATTTATTATCCTGATTAATTGTTTCTGCTTCTTTGACCTTAAAGTCGTTCCTCAAGTTTTATTGAGTGATGACGGAAACGTCTTCACTTTTTCAAATGCAGGCACTTTATATCAGGGTCTAACCTTTGAATAGTGACAGTAAACTATTTTAAATTCCTCTGGTCGGAATCCTAAGCTGCTGATTTAAAGACGGTATGCTTTTAACGCAGAAAATATCTTCCTAAACACCATGATTTTCTCAAATAAGGATCAGCTGCTGGTCTCAGGCCACAGTGAGAATGTTCCACAAAGGAGACTTAACAAATATTAGGCTCAAAACATTTTCTAAATAATTTTCTTAAATTATTGAACCTGAGAATATTGTATAAATGTTCGTCCTGAGTGTGCTCATGGTTCCTCTGACTGTGGGCTGTGGGCTCCTCCAATGGAAACGTGAAAGTTCACCTCAGGAGATCAACTTTCAGACGGTCGCTGTAAAACTCAGTCTTCATCTTAACTTGGACTGGTTTTAAACGTTAACTGAAGTGTTTTTTTGTTTTGTTTTTTAACAAGCCAGTTGTCTGAGCATCTATGATTTGAGGGACACCTGCCTTTGTAGACTGTGGATGTAATAGAATGTAAAATGTGTTTTTAATTGTGCTATAATCCCTTCTTCGAGTTGTTATTGCAAATTAGCCTTGGCTATAAATGATGTAGTGTTTCACATGTTGATTGTGTAAACTTGTCCCTTTCAAATAAATATATTACATGTTGTATGAATCCGAGAAAAATGAAAAAATCCTTTTTGAAAAAAAATGCAGATAAGTAAGCATCGTAAGTAAGAAGGTAAACTTTATTTATATAGCGCCCTTGACAGACCAGGGTCACAAAGCGCTTCACATAGTATAAAAACAGACATTATATAAATTAGACATACACATTTTTAAAGGCCAAGACAACCATGTTAAAAACAGCAAGACAGAATTATGCAAAAGCCTGAACAAATAAATGTGTTTTCAGTTGACTTTTGAAGCACTCTACAGACTCTATAGAACGCAGAGAGAGCGGGAGATCTTCAAAGGTTTGAAGCAAAAGCCTGGAAGGACTTGTCTCCTCTGGTCCTGAAGCGAGTGCATGGAACCATCAGGAGGTTCTGATCCACAGAAGATGGAGCCTGGCCGTCAAAAATGCCACTCCAACACCTCCAAGCTGGCGCTCACAACAACACCACTGACGGACACTCAGAACGGCTTCAGCCCTGGCACATCTTCGAGTTGTTTTGTATTGTAATGAATAAGCCATTTCAGAGGGACTTGCAGTATATCCATGGATCTGTGCGAGCTTATATTCTTGCGGTATGAAATTAAATGTATCAATCTAGCATTGTTCAATTTCATGGTCGTGTGCGCATTGTTGATGGATCGAGGGGAGGAACAGGGGGCAGACTTGTTGCTATGTTTAATGACATATTGTGGAATATTCCTGCATAACTCAAATAAAATCATATCATGTTTTGAGTTTATATGTGAGGTTGTATTTACACTTGAACTTCTTTGGCTGTATTAGTTCTTTGTATGATTGCAGCAGATCAATAGCATCACAGCTCAGCAGCCAAAGCAGCCAGACTCTGACGTCAATGAAGCATCAATTGGTTTTCAGAAGAGATTTTTATACAAAGTGGATTTCAGGGATTTTAGTGGTATTCTGTGCGAAAAGAGACAATTGTACTTATATCCTCTGTCTGTGTTCTGGAGTCTTCTCTAATACTGACACAACATCTGTGGTCACGTATAGTTTAGTCTTTATTACATACCATTTCAACATTTTTGCAATAATCAGTGATTTGGGGTTTGATTATTCACTTTCCCCCAGAGGTGCAAATGCAACACTTTTCTGCGTCATCCAAAGGTAATCAGATGTTTGTTTTTTTTTGTCTTCCATTGTTAGTAACAGAAAGTCAGAAATTTGCTTTGGCTCATGTACAACATGTTTGATAAAGTACAGACAATATAATATAAAATATAGAATATACCATACCTTCTGGACTAAAAGGTGCACCTGAATATAAGCCGCATCAGCAAGATTTTAAAATGTTGCAGAAGTGTACAAACATGCTAAAGGCAAAATACATAGTCTTTTCAGGATATATAATGTACAATAAAGCCACACTTGAGTATAAGCTGAAGGTTTTCCTGTTGTAAGGTGTTGTATTACATTACAGTATTATAATAGACAACTGTTTTATCTGGTCAGAACACGATCAAATGACGATGTGTATAACAGCTTAGTTTCCATGACAGTTCTATTTTGACTATAAATAAGTGTCCTTTAGCTACTACAACTCAATGGAGTCAAAATAATCAGTCCAATTACGCACAAACAAACACATTAGCCGCATCGCTATATAAGCCGCAGGGTTCCAAGAACTTGAACAAAGTTGTGGCTTATTGTCAAGACTTTACAGTAGTACAAACACGGGATGATCAAATGCCATGTGAATCTCTCATTATAGTGAGGTGTCCTGGGTTAATACTTTTCCATACTGAAAACCAAGGTTCCATTCGCTTTGTTTCGTATGAATTGTCGACCTTGATACCACACTCTGCCACTTACTCACTTACTCACTCTGCAAAGCTAAAAATAGATGTAGACATCACTTAAAACTCACCTCTCCGGACTGATCCATGGAGGTAAATGATAATGCATGCTTATTACTTATTAGTTATCACTTTGATAACACAAATTACATCTATTTAGAGTTGTGCAATTTCCATTGTATCCATGGAAAATTTTCCAGTAAAATCATTTTTACCATTAGTTTATACACATCTCCACATGCTGCTTTTGTGCTCTGTTGAAGTGAGTTGGGGAATGGCAGCCCTCAAGCTCATTCAAAGAAAGTACAAAAACATATTCGCACAACTCTCGCCTTCACTTTTATACACTTTCATCAGTCCTAACAGTGTAACAGCTCCTATAGAAGCTTCTCTGACACTAAGATGCAAGTGATGAATATGCACAGGCCTGAATTCAATCTATCCTAATGTATTCACGCCCAGAGGGATGCAGGTTAACACCGGCGAGCAGCCAGATAGAACAAGACACAGGTAAAAGCTCTGACATGTACGACTTCATTTTGTTGTTTCTTTCAGAGTAACAAATGCAACATGTTTTGCCTTTGCCTGGAATGTATCACAGTTTATTAGTCCTGGCACGTTAATTACTGTACCTTATTGATCACTTAAACTGACCATGTCCACAGAGAATGTGTGCATGTGTGAACAGTAAAGTGGTTGAAGGTCTGAACAACTCAGATTAACTGTTTATTCAATTCAATTCATTGTATTTTTTTATATTTTGTATAGCCCTAAATCACAACTGCAGTTATCTCAGAGGACTTTACAAAGTTGTCGATTCGCCAACACCTTTCATGAACCAAACAGTTCAAACACAGGAAATGCTATCACTAAAAACACATAGGGCCATTGGTCCATATAAGGGCAGGTGACCAATGTCTATAAACGACAAATTATTACAAGAGAACACATCTATTGTGGAACAGACTGTGTTGATAATTAGGCCGATAGAGTTAAATCAAGTAACTCGTCTGGCAGCCTCAACAAACAGGTGGTCAATTTATTATTATTATTATTTTGTCATTTTGTCATTTTATGTTTGGGAGCTCTTGTTACAGAAATGTGTCAAGTCAATTCCATCTATCACTGCAAATCATTTTGATTTATGTTGACGGCAGATCTGAGTGCGAGTCGTAAATCCAAAATAACCATTCATTTTTGTCACATAAAAATGCAGTTTATCTTTTTTGGTATTAAAAATCTATGAAACATGTCTTGTCAAAGTCTTCATGCATGTGGAAATCTGAATTATTGGGGGTATGTCCTCTATTTTACTGTGCACCAGCTGCAGAAATCAACCAACATGACTGATTGATGATTGATGTCAAATTTGGATTTCAACAATTTATTCCAATGTTTGTTGTGAGAAATCAGTTAAACCAACATTTTTGCCCACATGACAGACGCCCCAAATGTGTGCCCTGTCCTCAGCTTCTCCCGGTTAATCACCGAATGCGACTTGACAAGGATTTGAAGGAGTACCCACAGTTCCACCCCTCGGCCTCATGACTCATCCAATATGGCCAACCCTCCATCAATTTGGGCCGACCACAAAAAGGGTTCCCTCCGTCTTCCAATCACTCCATCACGGCACCTCTTCACCCCGCGCTCGTAACTCTTTTAGAGGGACATTGGAGCACCCCACCCCTCCCCGCACGGGGTACTCCAATAGTCCTGTTTGAGAATCTCGTATTTAAAACATCAGGAGAGGAAGGCTGTGTGTGCTTTTGTGTTGTTCTATCATTAAAAAAAATATGACCCAACAAATTATTTTTAACTTTCTCCACAGGACACAGAAGAATGCTGGCAAACTCTTCAATATGAAGTATAAAACTGATCCCATTTGTACTATTGTGGGTGCCTTGTATTGT